AATTTTTTTTTTTTCGATTTTCGACGAGGAAGATGAGAGTGAAAGTGATGAGATGAGAGTGAAACTGTGAAAGTGATCTTTTATGATTTCACTTTTCATTTGACCAAAATTAAATTAATTAACCAACTAAAGTTAGTTTTAGACTTCAGAGTTTTATTATGTTAGATAGTTGGATAAACTATGGTTATTATTATATATAATACCGGTTCTTTGGTTATTCCTTGAATTTTGTACAGGAAACCAATTGATCAAACCGAAAATGAAGTGAAAAAAACCGAGCCGAAAAAACCTGCCTGTTTACATGTGATTAACCGAACCGAACCGGATTATTTCGCTTCGGTCCGGACCGGTTTACCGGTTTCCGGTTCGAAAATCCGAACCCTAGCAGATACAACTTTTAATAATGAAAAGTTACCAAATGTGGTCATATAAGCAAACAATGCTCGTTAGAAAAAGTGCCACCACAGCCTTTTTGGCAGCTCTATGTGTAGATATATGTAAACGTTGCTCGTCCGTATGGACATATAGCATAAAGCGCAGTGAAGCTATAATATGAATTTTCGAAAAATGAGATAATCTTCAAATTCAGCATGTGTTACGAGCAGTTGGTCACAGAAGTCTAACAATCAAGTACTTATGATTAAGTGCAAAAATGATCCAAATCATATATATAGTATGTTCCGATTGTCAGCTAGGCTGTAATTGGAACTCGGCAGTTTCTTTATCCGAAACTTCTCATCATTCCCTCAATGGCAACATAATTTTTACGACAACGACAGCTTCTTCTCAAGCTCTGCATATTTGAATCCAAATCAAAAAATTCAAAAGAAAATATACAAAGCTTTTACTTTAACAAGGCATTAGCAGCTAAACGAATAAAAAAAATAATGTTTACCCAACAATAAAAGGTCGACACCACATTTCACAGAAAAAAGAAAATGATCAAAAGTATCGTTCGTTGCGTACCTTTAGATGGAGGAGCTTCATCTTGAGTTTTCTTGTTGCTGATGAAAACAAAGTTACAATCAGCTTAATCATAATCATAATCATAATAGCTACAAAATGGGGTAAAAAAACTAATAAAGTGACAGTTACAGAAGAAATTAGTCTCTACTACTGCCAGAACACTTCAAATTTTCTTTAAACAATACAAATAACTTTACCCCTCTTTGCTCGAAGGCTCATCTTGGGGTTTCATAGCTGGGAAGAGCAGAACTTCCTGGACACAAAATATCAAGTATATGTTGAGGATAGAGTTAAATATTTATAAGAAAATGAAATCAGAAATGATTCTGAGACAATATAAGTGAAGCTAACCTTTATGTTCTGTGAATCGGTCAGCAACATCGCAAATCGATCGATACCTAATCCCCATCCTCCAGTTGGAGGCAACCCATATTCAAGAGCAGTACAGAATGTTTCGTCTAAGGCCATAGCTTCATCATCACCCGATTGTCGGTCCTAGTTTCAACCAGTGCAGATAAATCTTTAACACAATTACTTTTACTATAGATGCAGATAAATCATAAGAGGCTAATTTAAAAGAAATAAGATTCAGATTACTTTCAATTAAAAAAACACTATCGTTAAAAATAGCTAAACTAACATTCTCCCTTGCTATTTATTTTCTATCTTGTGGAGAATAAGGAAAGGCAAGTCTCAGTGTGCGCCCCATTTGTAATTTTGAAGGATAATTGGGTCTTTCGGAGATCAGAACAGTTTTAAACAACCCTAAAGAGTAGTTTATATAACTATCCCTAATCACAACTGCGAACTTCAGACTATATCTATACAGAGGCACCATTATGAATCGTGTTTCCATAATAAATACCTTGAGCTGGTCAGAAAAACGCTGGCGTTGCACAACAGGATCGTTCAACTCCGTGTACGCGTTGCAAAGCTAACAAAAATAACAAGCACTAGTCAGTATAGCATAACCCGAGGGAAATGAAAATAAAATATAAAGGGAATGATAGGGAGGTTTTGAATAAAATAGCATTATGATTATATGTACTTCATGCTTGTTGATGAACAACTCAAAACGTTCAGTCAAGCCTGGTTTCGACCTATGCCACTTTGCCAGTGGACTCATGATCTCCGGATGGTTGATAATGAATGTAGGGTTCACACAAGTCTCCTCAAGGAAGTGACCAACAAGCTATACAAAGCAAACATAACAGCTTATCAAAAATAATTAATTAAGTAATCAATAGTTAATATCTCAAAATCTCAATTCAACTACATGCAACCCATACTGACCTACAAAGAACATAGAAATCGGGTAGTAAAATAAAAAACAAAAAAAAAAACAGGGGGGAAAAAGAGAAAGAAAAAAGGTATCTTACTTTATCCAACAGTCTAGCAGTTGTTTGTGGAGGGGGGCATTTGACTTCAAACCTTGCACACGCATCCACCAGATATTTATTGGCTTCATCATTTGATATGTCCTTGGGTATGTTCAAGTTAGCGACCCTCTCCAACTCATCTATCATATCAATCCGCCTGAGCAAGTAAAAGCAAGGGACTTCTAATTGTTGTATCCTGTTATCTCTAATTCAAGATACAATATGTATTATGCCTAGGTTCAAATACCTGAAAGGAGGAGTGAAGTCGATCTCGATGGGTTCATTGTCATATCCATTGGCATGATATTTTATTATATAACCGCCCGTAAGTTCCTTGACCATTCCTAATAATGTAAAATATGTCAGTAATATGAATATGCTAATACTATATTAGATTCCAGGGATAATTACAAAAGATCCCAATTACAGTTCGGCAAATTACTAAACGACCTAGAGGTTCTTAAATTTACAAAACCTCCCAATATATTTGATTCGCCATTTTGCATTTCTCCCCACTATAAGAATGGAATCAAACACCCCCAGCATATACAGAATCAAATTTCATGGGAAGTTATGCAATTTTGAACAACTTGCAGGTTTTCTTATGATTAGCTTAGCCAAAACTAGAAGATTTTGATTACCAGATAGCCACTTACCACTGAGCATATCTTCAGTTAGCTTCATCAGGTCATGGTAATCAGCAAAAGCCATGTAAAACTCACAAGTGGTGAACTCAGGATTATGCGTCAAGTCAATCCCTTCATTCCTAAACTGCTTCCCGATTTCATACACACGGTCTAAGCCACCAACGACAAGTTCCTTCAGATAAAGTTCGGGTGCAATGCGCATGAAAAGTCTCATATTGAGTTCATTGTGGTGGGTCACAAATGGACGGGCAGCAGCTCCCCCGGCAATCATGTTCATCATTGGAGTTTCAACCTTTAAGGAAAAAAACAGAACATAAAATGGAAAAAAAAAAAATTGAGTGCAAGAAAGTAAAGAGCTAGTGAACAAAAACTAGAGGTGGAAACAGTGTCCTCCCAGTAAACACAATAGACTGCATCACCTCAAGAAAGTCTCGTTCATCGAGGTATCGTCTGATGAAAGAAATTATTTTGGCCCTGGTTTTGAATATTTCACGAACCTCCATGTTCAGCATTAAATCCAAATACCGCTGCCTATACCGTGTTTCCTGCATGAAATAAAATGTTAATGTATGAGATTAACGAACACGCATGGCACACATGCACTTGAAGTCAGCTTCAAGAAGTATCACGTGTACAAGTTCGAGATTCATTAGATGGAAAAAAGTTAAACTAAACTTTAACATGAAAAAACTAAAAACCTCATGAGAAACATGTCGCCTTCAAACCAAAATGGGGCAAGTTTTATGTAAGTGGATAATTGAACAGTACCTGATCCTTCAATACATAAGCCTCGGGATTTCTACCACTTCCTGGGACCCAAATATCAGCTACCTGTTTAGACGTATTATTATGTCAATGAATTAGTCAAACATTTATCATTACATTCATCAAGATAAGAAATAGTCACCTTAGCATTTTCTGAACCCGGACCAATTTTTGGCCGGGGCATCATGTGGAGACAATGAGAAAGCACTATAAATGTTTTGGGAAAAATACTCAGCTCTCCCCTTTTGCTTTTACCTATAAAATGAAGTACCATGAGATTGTTAAACTTTTGGAAGAAAATAAAAGGTAGAAATTGGAAAAAGTGAATATTTACAACAAATTTTTTCTGCCACATTTACTTATAGATGTAAACAATATGATGAGGAACAAATAAAAGGTTCGACCTAATTGCAGCGTCCAAACAAAACATGAGCGGAGCCTCAGGGCACATACTATTGCAATATAGAGTGAGGTAATACTTCGGCCTTACTAGAAAGGCAACCAATAAAATCCTCACCCACATGTAGAAAATTCAACGAAAATTTCCAATAAATCAAACATGCTTCTTAAGAGAATAATTATTTTAATCCGGTGAAGTATGAAACTCATGAAAAATTAAAGAAAATCACATACCTGGGAAACCAATTATCCCAACAATATCTCCACGCTTAACCGAATTATGAAATCGAGAAAACTCTTCTTCATCCAAATCAGATTTCCTACAACAAATCCATGAATCAAGATGACATTCCGCATAAACAAAATCTGCACTTTCTAATTCTAAGACACGTGAATTGAGTTGGGCTAGAAGTAAAGCTGCATATGCATTTGCACAACATTCCTCAGTTTCCATAAATTATTTGAAAATTTGACGGTAACATCAGAAAACAAACCAAAAAGTAGGTCCACATGGGCCCAGTAGCATATAAATAATATCTTAAGTCCACCTTGCATCAGCCATAACTTGAACTTTAGCACCACCACCATGTAAATCATAAAAGAATAACTTCGATGACGATGATCGTTTGTTCATCAGCCGACCTTCCAAAAGAACAATCCACATAAGTAACTGACAGTAACAGTTTACTAATAACATACTGCACCACATGACACGTAATTTCTCACACCAGCAATTTTTTCCTCGACATCTTCAAGATGATCACCACTATTTAAGCCTTCATATCTCCTCACATACTCAGGTATAGACGACTTAGCTTCGAATTTGTGAGGATATGGATTAGCCCCAGCTGACTTCTGCGCCGCAAGGGCTCTCAGCCTATTTTCATGATATTGCTGCAGGTATACATTTTTATATTCAGTGAATCAATTTTAGAGGGCCTGGGTAAAATATTGCCCATTCAAGAACACTTATAAAAAGGAAAGTTAGAAAGAGGGAAAAAATGATAAAATAAAATATATCGGAAACAAAGCCAGCAATACCCTACCGTTGGGTCCATGCCCTCATCTTCCGCAGCAGCAGCAGCTCTCCTGCCCTGAGCCCTTGGGTTGGCAGTGGCCTGCATGTTTACCAATGACATCAAAACTATACATGACTAACATAAATACTTCATATATAGCCAAAGCAGAATAACAAAAA